GTGCACCAACACATCCAGCTAATTTTTGCATTTTTAGTAGAGACAGGGTTTCTCCATGTTGGCCGGGCTGGTCTCGAACTCCTGGTCTCAAGTGATCTGCCCCCCTCAGTCTCCCAAGTCCTGGGAGTACAAGCGTGAGCCACCATGCCCAGCCCTGAGCCCAACTATTAAGGTCTCAATTGTATCTCCTCCAAATTCATATGTGGATCTTTTAACCCCCAGCACCTCAGAATGGGACTGCATTTGGAGATAAGACCTTTTAAAAGAGGTGACTAAGCCAGGCACGGTGGCTCACGCCTGTAATCCCAGCACTTTGGGAGGCTGAGGCAGGTGGATCATGAGGTCAGGAGTTCAAGACCAGCCTGGTCAACATAGTGAAATCCTGTCTCTACTAAACATACAAAAAATTAGTCAGGTGTGGTGGTGAGCACCTGTAATCCCAGCTACTCAGGAAGCTGAGGCAGGAGCACCGCTTGAACCCGAGGGGCAGAACTTGCAGTGAGCGGAGATAGTGCCATTGCACTCTAGCCTGGGCAACAAGAGAGAAACTCCATCTCAAAATAAATAAATAAATAAACAAATAAAGTCATTAAGTTAAAATGCACAATAAATGTTTGTTGGTTGAATGACTTGTCACAACTGCTCTACTAAATTCTTCCCTTGGCACCTAGGGTATCTATGGAGATGTGCTACTCAGACTCTTCAAGAGAACCTGCTATGAAGAGGGTAGATGTGTGACCACCTCCAGCTGCCACACTTTCAGACCTGCTGTAGTGTTCATGCCGAGGCCATGATCTTTCTGGGCCGCTCCCAACCAGGGACTGAGCACAATGGGGTTACTAGGTGTGATGGTTAACACTGAGTGTCAACTTGATTGGATTAAAGGATGCAAAGTATTGTTCCTGGGTGTGTCTTCGAGGGTGTTGCCAAAGGAGATTAACGTTTGAGTCAGTGGACTGGGAGAAGCAGACTCACCCTCAAGCTGGGTGGGTACCATCTAATCAGCTGCCAGCACAGCTAGGTTAAAAGTAGACAGAGGGGGCTGGGCGCAGTGGCTTATGCCTGTAATCCCAGCACTTTGGGAGGCCGAGGCAGGCGGATCACGAAGTCAGGAGATCGAGACCATGCTAGCTAACACGGTGAAACCCCGTCTCGCCTAAAAAATACAAAAAAGTTAGCTGGGCATGGTGCGGGCGCCTGTAGTCCCAGCTACTCAGGAGGCTGAGGCAGGAGAATGGCATGAACCCGGGGGACGGAGCTTGCAGCGAGCCGAGATGGTGCCACTGCACTCCAGCCTGGGCGACAGACCGAGACTCCATCTAAAAAAAAAAAAAGAAAGAAAGTAGACAGAGGGGCCAGGTGTGGTGGCTTTAGGAGGCCAAGATGGGCAGATCACCCTAGGTCAGGAGTTCAAGACCAGCCTGGCCAGCATGGTGAAACTCCATCTCTATTAAAAACACAAAACTTAGCCAGGCGTGGTGGCCCATACCTGTAATCCTAGCTACTCAGGAAGCTGAGACAGGAGAATTGCTTGAACCTGGGGGGCAGAGGTTGCAGTGAGCTAACACCACTGCACTCCAGCCTGGGAGACAGAGAGCAACTCCAACTCAAATAAATAAATAAATAAATAAGACAGAAAAACGTGGAAATACTAGACTGGCTGAGTCTTCTGGCCTCATCTTTCTTCCGTGCTGGGTGCTTCCTGCCCTCGAACATCAGACTCCAAGTTTGTTCTTCAGCTTTTGGAATCTTAGACTTACACCAGTGATTTTGCCAGGGGCTCTCAGGCCTTCAGCCACAGACTAAAGGCCTGCACTATTGTCTTCCCTCCTTTTGAGATTTTGGGACTCAGGCTGGCTTCTCCTCAGCTTGCAGATGGCCTATTGTGGAACTTCCTTCCCCTTGTGATCGTGTGAGTCAGTTCTCCTTAATGAACTCCCTTTCATATATACGTCTATCCTATTAGTCCTATCCCTCTAGAGAACCCTGACTAATACACTAGGGATGCATTAATTTTGCCCAATACAGGACTCCACTAGTGGGCATTCCTTGCTCTGGGACTTCCCACTGGCCTAGCCAAGACTTTCTGAAAGATGCTGGGCCAGTTATCAATGTATTACCGTTCAGCTCCAAATTCACTCCACTCTGCACAATGGAGATGAACTGAACTCCTTTATAGTGAGATGCTGAGCTTTGCAAGTAGTCAGTGCTAGAAGCGACTTTCAGGAGAGGAGGTTTCTGTGTGCGCGCTGTTCTTGCTCCTGTTTTTTGGTTGCTTAGCAGTGTGTGTGAGGACATTTAGTGGTGATCTGCCCCAGCCATGAGCCCAGTGTGCATAGCCTATAGCAACACTGCAGCCCTCAGGCCCGGGGACCATCTTCCAGCAAACCTCCTGATGCAGACACCTCAAGCTTTAGGCCTCACAACTGCAAATGTGCCCCAATTCCACCCGCCCACCAGTCTCAGCTCCCTTAGCCCTCTGAGGGTTATTCCTGCTTACCCAGGGAACTGTGGACTGTGGACCAGCTCTGGCCGTAGGCAACCCACCCAACTTCTCGCCATCCAGTGGGCTGCAACCAACCACACCTTCTCCAGTGAGGTCTGAACCTCACTTGGGGAGGGCACCCCCTTCCAAGTTTATCTTTCCTTGGGGACTCTCCTTGGATATCTTTTAAAGGTCTCTTTTTTTTTTTTTTTTTTTTTTTTTTTTTGAGACGGAGTCTCCTTCTTGTTGCCCACGCTGGAGTGCAATGTCGTGATCTTGGCTCACTGCAACCTCCACCTCCCAGGTTCAAGCGATTCTCCTGCCTCAGCCTCCACAGTAGCTGGGATTACAAGCGTGCACCAGCACGCCTGGCTAATTTTTGTATTTTTAGTAGAGATGGGGTTTCCATGTTGGCCAGGCTGGTCTTCAACTCCTGATCTCAGGTGATTTGCCCACCTCAGCCTCCCAAAGTGCTGGGATTACAGGGTGAGCCACCGCAGCCGGCTTTTGCATCTTTATGGTTACTCTCCTGGGTAAGATTAATAATGTTTTCATATTAAACAACCCCTGTTTAAATTGCTTTGTGGTTTTTGTCTCCTGATGGGACTCAGAATGATCCAGAGGCCCTGAAGTCTGAGGCTGTTCCTATGCAATTCTCCTTTCTTCCCTTCTCTTCTTCCACAGGTGTCAGATCTGCACTGCAGTCTGAAGATTCTCCCAACCTACTCCTGCTTCCTCTCTCCTTTATCTCTCACAGGCATTACCCCCAGTAAATCTCTTCACATGGTTAATTCCTTCTTGGCATTTGCTTCTCAAAGAACCCAAATGGACACAACTTCCCATCACACTTAGAATAAAATCCCCCAGCACTTTGAGAGGCTGAGGCAGGAGGATCACTTGAGGCCAGGAGTTCGAGACCAGCCTGGACAACATAGCGGAGCCCTGTCTCTACCAAAAAAAGCCAAGTGTGGTGGCTCATGCCTGTAATCCCAGCACTTTGGGAGGCCAAGGTGGGCAGATCATGAGGTCAGGAGTTTGAGACGAGCCAGCATGGTGAAACCCTGTCTCTACTAAAAATAGAAAAAATTAGCTGGGCGTGCGGGCGGACGCCTGTAGTTGCAGCTACTCGGGAGGCTGAGGCAGGAGAATGGCGTGAACCCAGGGGGCAGAGCTTGCAGTGAGCAGAGATTGTGCCACTGCACTCCAGCCTGGGGGACAGAGCGAGACCCCATCTCCAAAAAATAAAATAAAATAAAATAAAATAAAATAAAATACCAATGACCACGTGCGGTGGCTCACGCCTGTAATCCCAGCACTTTGGGAGGCCAAGGGAGGTGGATCACCTGAGGTCGGGAGTTCGAGACCACCCTGACCAACATGGAGAAACTCTGTCTCTACTAAAAATACAAAATTAGCTGGGCATGGTGGCACATGCTTGTAATCCCAGCTACCAGCGAGGCTGAGGCAGGCAGGAGAATCGGCTGAACCTGGGAGGCAGAAGTTGCGGTGAGCTGAGATTGCACTCCAGCCTGGGCAACAAGAGTGAAACTCTGTCTCAAAAAAAAAAAAAAAAAATTAGCTGGACATGGTGATGTATACCTGTACCACTACTTGGGAGGCTGAGGTGGGAGTATCACATGAGCTCGAGAATTCAAGGATGCAGTGAGCCATGATCATGCCACTGCACTCCAGCCTGGGTGACAGAATGAGACCCTACCAAAAAAAAAGAAATGAAATACCACTTCTTCCTAAAGGCCTTCACTACCAACCCCCAATCCCCTTTATCCTGTCCCCTCATGCTGCTTTGTTGTGTTTCTTCATGGCACTTATTACCATGTAACCTACAAGTTATTGCATTATTTTTTCATTTTTCTATCTCCCTGCATAGAGGAATGTCTCCTCCGTGAGGCCAAGGTCTTTGCCTGCTTGTTCACTGCTGCATCCCCAGGGCCTGGATTAGAACCTGGAACATAGTAGGTGCTCAGTATTTGTTTTTTGTTTTGTTTTTTGAGATGGAGTCTCTCTCTGTCGCCCAGGCTGTAGTGCAATGGTATGACCTCGGCTCACTGCAACCTCTGCCTCCTGAGTTCAAGCGATTCTCCTGCTTCAGGCTCCTGACCAGCTGGGACTACAGGCATGCACTACCACATCAGGCTAATTTTTGTATTTTTTAGTAGAGACGGGGTTTCACCATATTGGCCAGGCTGGTCTTGAACTCCTGACCTCAAGTGATCTGCCCTCCTTGGCCTCCCAAAGTGCTGGGATTACAGGTGTGAGCCATCATGCCCGGCCAAGTATTTGTTAATTAGCTGAATAAAAGAGTGTCCTCACCTTTGATTAAGCCACTTGCTCCACCCCGATGCCTTCCCTTCTTCTTGCCTTTCCTAATCCCACCTAAGCCCTGGCTCTAGCCCCCACTCCTCCAGGAAGCCCTCACTGACCAGATGAGTTCTGAGCCCTTCTTGCACTTCACCTGGTAAAATGCTTAATTTTAGATGCCAAGTAAAGTCTGAAGTGGAGGTGAGAGGCAGAAGAGAACCAATCAGCTTTATTGGGGTTAAGGGCAGGGGAGGGGAGGGGAGGTGCCAGCAGAGGCTCCCAGCCAGGGTGGAGCCGCAGGGAGACAGCTGGGGATGCAAGTCACTTCTTCCACTGCTTCTTCTCATAGTCCCAGCGGGAGGCCAGGCCCTGCACAGGATTGACCTTCATGTCCAGCATGCGCTGCAGCTGCTTGGCTTTCCATTCGTCCGTCAAGGTGATGGGCTTTGGAGGAAACACTGCAGGGAGTGCATGGGGGAGCTCAGGATCCGGCCAGTCTTCCTCCACCAGCCAGGGTCTCCAGCCACCCTGTAGCCTCCCAGCTACTCCCAAGGCTGACGGTACAAGTTACTCCGGGGTTGGGGTATCCTGCACTGAGGCACTCCCTCCACCCTGTCTAGCCCAGCACCCCAGACTTTCTCCTAAAGCATCGCCCCAGGCACCTCTCGGTTCTGATCCCAGCTTTGCCTTAGACTCCAAGGACCGTGGGAGCCAGGCCAAGGTCCTTCCCAACTCAGTCGCCTTACCTACTTCTGTGGCCTGTGGTAATAAGAGCACTGATTTGAAGACTGCCTGAATCCAAATCCCAGCTCCACCACTCCCTTGCCCTGTGACTTTCAACAAGTTACTTCACCTCTCTGAGCCTCAGTTTCCTTACCTGTCAAAAGCAGGTCCTATCCACTAGGATTGTGGGAACTGAGTATTTCCAAAGCTGTTGGCACAATGTTAGACAAATATTAAGCACCTGATACATGTTATCTACTATAATTATGTAATTACTGAGTTTGTTGCCACTTGCTGGGCAGGGTAAAGGATGAAATAATTCCTTTTACTTTCTAAGGGGGTTGAGAGTAGGAAGTAGGTAAGAGTGTTCACTTTAAAAATATGGGGACAGGCAGCAGGGCGCGGTGGCTCATGCCTTTAATCACGCCCAGGCCGAGGTGGGCAGATCACTTGAGGTCAGGAGTTCGAGACTAGCCTGGCCTAGTCAAACCCTGTCTCTACTAAAAATACAAAAAATTAGCTGGGCGTAGTAGTGTATCCCCGTTATCCCAGCTGCTCAGGAGGCTGAGGCAGGATAATTGGTTTAGTCTGGGAGGCACAGGTTGCACTGAGCCAAGATCATGCCACTACACTCCAGCCTTGGTGGCAGAGCAAGACTCTTTCTAAAAATAAAAAAAAAAATAAAAATAAAAAAGGCCGGGCGCGGTGGCTCAAGCCTGTAATCCCAGCACTTTGGGAGGCCGAGACGGGCGGATCACGAGGTCAGGAGATCGAGACCATCCTGGCTAACACAGTGAAACCCCGTCTCTACTAAAAAATATATATATATATACAAAAAACTAGCCGGGCGAGGTGGCGAGCGCCTATAGTCCCAGTTACTCGGGAGGCTGAGGCAGGAGAATGGCGTAAACCCGGGAGGCGGAGCTTGCAGTGAGCTGAGATCCGGCCACTGCACTCCAGCCTGGGCCACAGAGCGAGACTCCATCTCAAAAAAAAAAAAAAAGAAAAAAAAAAAACTGGGGAGAGCCAGGTGCAATGGCGTGTGCCTATGGTCTCAGTTACTCAGGAGGCCAAGATGGGAGGATTACTTAAACTGAGGAATTCTAGTCTAGCCTGGGCAACATAGAAAAACCCCTGTCTTTTTTTTAAAAAAAAAAAAAGAAAAAAATCTGGTGGGACAGGCAATACTTAACCTAAAAGCTGAAAGCACTCATAGAGGCATTTTAGGCACCTTGATGTGTGGATGGGGACAGGAAAGGCCTGGAGGCCCGAGCTCCCAATAGCTCTCATACCTTACTTTCTGGTCCACCTGGTCCTGAGGCTGACTCAGCCTTCCTGACCTCCATCCCTGGTACATTCTATCCCAGGAGCGAAGCAGGAAGGGAACAACCTTTATGAGCATCGACTATGTGCCAAGCACTAGGCTAGACTAGCCCTTCCAGGATGCATGGGAGGTGCTGAGCCTTTCACTGGTCTACCAGAGGGATGGGCAGTTAAAATAAAAATTGCTGGGCCGATGTGGTGGCTCACGCCTGTAATCCCAGCACTTTGGGAGGCCAAAGTGGGTGGATCACAAGGTTAGGAGTTCAAGACCAGCCTGGCCAATATGGTGAAACCCCATCTCTACTAAAAATATAAAAATTAGCTGGATGTGGTGGCATGCACCTGTAGTCCCAGCTGCTCAGGAGGCTGAGGCAGAAGAATCTCTTGAACCCAGGAGGCGGAGGTTGCAGTGAGCCAGGATCACGCCACTACATTCTAGCCTGGGTGACAGAGCAAGACTCCATCTCAAATAAATAAATTAATTAATTTAATTAAATAATTATTGGAGTCAGACCGGGTACGGTGGCTCATGCCTATAACCCCAGCACTTTGGGAGGCCAAGACAGGCGGATCACAAGGTCAGAAGTTCGAGATCAGTCTGGCCAACATGGTGAAACCCCATCTCAGGCCGGCGCGGTCTCAGCCTGTAACCCACACTTTGGAGGGACGGGCGATCACGAGGTCAGGAGATCGAGACCATCCTGGCTACAATGACCCGCTTACAAAATCAATTAGGGGATGCGGGCTGTAGCCCACTCTGAGCTAGGCAGAAATGCGTAAACGGAGGCGGGTTTGCATGGCAGTGAGCCTGGGCGACGGCGAACTCCGTCAACCCCCTACTAAAAATACAAACTAGCCAGGTGGGCTGTATCCGGTACTTGAGGCTAGGAGAATCGCTTGAAACCAGAAGGCGGAGGTTGCAGTGAGCCGAGACCGCACCACTACAAAACTCTCTCTCAAAAAAAAAAAAAAAATTGTTGGGGTTGGGGTCTACCCCCAGAGTGTCTGACCAGTGGAGCTGAGAATATGCATTTCTAGCAAGTTCCTAGATGGTGCTATTGGTACACAGAGAACACTTTTGAGAACCACTCTTCAGAGGTAATAAAAGCTCAGCTGTACATGTGACTACCCAGCTAAAGACTATATTTCCCAGCTTCCCTTGTAGCCAGATGATCACATGATCATTTCTCAGCCTATATCATGTGAGGAGAAGTGGTTTGAGCAACTTCTAGGCCTCAAAGAGGAGCCTATTTTCCCTTTCCCTTTTTTCCTTGGCTGGAATGTAGGCTTGATGGCAGGAGCTGGAGCAGCCATCTTGCGTGTCAAGGATGCAGAGCAACAAGACAGAAGGAGCCTGCATTGTGGAGTCCCCACATTTGTCTGGATTGCTTCTCTGCCCTTGTTGTGAGAAAGGAATAAACCATTATCTAATTTAAGCTCTTGTAAGTTGGGGACTCTTTGTTACAGTAGCTGAAGCAATATATTGAAAAATAGGCCAGGCGTGGTGGCTCATGCTTGTAATCCTAGCACTTTGGGAGTTCCAAGCAGGCAGATCACTTGAGGCCAGGAGTTTGAGACCAGCCTGGCGAACATGGCGAACCCTGTCTCTACTAAAAATACAAAAATTAGTCAGGCATGGTGGTACACTCCTGTAGTCCCAGCTACTTGGGAGGCTGAGGCAGGGGAATCACTTGAACTGTGGAGGCAGAGGTTCCGTATATGTATATATATATATATACACACCGAAAAACACATAGTTCATACACAACAATCAGTTACAACACCATTCATGACTATGAGCCAAACACTGGCCTATAGCCCTCTCTCATTAAAATCCTCTTAAGTACCCTGAAATGGAACATTACTATTTCCATTTTACAGATGAGGAAACTGAGGCCCAGAGAGGTAAAGTTCCTACATTCAAACCTAGACAGCCATGCTCTGCCCTTCACACTACACCTCTTCAGACATTTTCAACTCTTCAGATGACTGCCAGCATGGTTCCTTTAAGAAACCATCTGGTGGCCGTGACCACAAGGTCACGGCCCAGGATTGCATCTAGATGAGGTGTTGCTACTCACTGTAGACCCGCTGCCACCAAATCACCAGAGCTGCGAATCCAAAGAAGAAGAAGACGTAACCCATCACTGTCTTCCACTCATTGGAGCGACGGTTCATCTCCGCAAAGGTCTCATTGAACTGGAGCCGGTACACTGGAGGCAATTGGGGGGGAGGGGGGAAGGGCCTCAGGTGCATCCACTCTAAGTGATCCCTGGCTTCCGCCTCCCTGCAGCAGATGCTGTTCATTCAGCAAATTCTTACGGAGCATGTACTATATGCACAGCATGACCAAGAACTGGTGACAGCAGTGAGTAAGCCAGATGAAAATCCCTGCCCTTGTCGAGTTAAGAGGGGAGACCGTGGCAAATGCTTCAGGCAAACAGTTGGGTGGCCAGGGAAGGTGTCTCAGAGGAGGTGACATTGGAACTGAGGCTTGAAAAATCAGTGGGAGAAAATTGGTGAAAACCGGAAGGAAATGCAAAGACCCAGAAGCAGGAAGTGGGTAGGAAAAGAGTGAAGTGAGGACCACTGTGGCTGGAGTGAAATGAGCAAAAGAGAGGGAATTTAGCAAACGAGAGGCTGGCCGGAGCCGGTTCACACAGGACCTTGTCAGAATCCATGGAGAAGAATCTGGATTTCATTTCAACAGAATTAGGGAGGGGGCCAGGCATGGTGGCCCATGCCTGTAATCCCAGAATTTTGGGAGACCAAGACAGGTGGACTGCTTGAGTCCAAGAGTTCGAGACAATCCTAGGCAATATAGCAAGATCCTGTTCCTACAAAAAATTTTAAAATTAGCCAGGTAAGGCTGGGCGCGGTGGCTCATGCCTGTAATCTCAGCACTTTGGAAGGCTGAGGCGCGTGGATCACAAGGTCAGGAGATCGAGACCATCCTGGCTAACATGGTGAAAACCCGTCTCTACTAAAAATACAAAAAATTAACCGGGCATAGTGGCAGGCACCTGTAATCCCAGCTCCTCGGGAGGCGGAGGCAGGAGAATAGCGTGAACCAGGGAGACGGAGCTTGCAGTGAGCCAAGATTGCACCACTGCACTCCAGCCTGGGAGACAAAGCAAGACTCCATCTCAAAAAAATAAATAATAAATAAATAAATAAATAATAAAAAATTAGCCAGGTACAGTGGCATGTGCCTGTGGTCCCAGCCACTCGAGAGGCTGAGGCAGAAGGACTGCTTGACCCTAGGAGTTTGAGGCTACAGTGAGCAAGGATCCCATACAGTGCTGTCTTAGCCAGGGCAACAGGGTGAGACCGTTTCTTTTTTCTTTTTTGAGACAGTCTCACTCTGCTGCTGAGGTTGGAGTATGTGATCTCATGCCCGCCTGCCCTGGAAGAGGTCTGACAAGACTCAAGGCATTTGGCCTGGCATGATGGCTCATGCCTGTAATCCCAGTGCTTTGGGAGGCCGAGGCAGGAGAATTGCTTGAGCCCAGGAGTTCAAGAGCAGCCTGAGCAACCATAGTGAGACTGCTCTGTCTCTACAGAAATATAAATAAATAAATAAATAAATAAATAGCCGGCGTGGTAGCTCACACCTGTAATCCCAGCACTTTAGGCTGAGGCAGGTGGATCATGAGATCAGGAGTTCGAGACCAGTCTGGCCAACATGGTGAAACCCTGTCTCTACAAAAAATACAAAAAAAATAACCAGGTGTGGTGGTGCCCGCCTGTAGTCTCAGCTACTCAGGAGGCCAAAGCAGGAGGATCGCTTGAACCCAAGTGGCAGAGGTTGCAGTGAGCCGACATGGGGCCACTGTACTCCAGCCTGGGTGACAGAGACCCTGTCTCAAGAGAAAAAAAAGAAAAAAAAAGTTGTTTAACTGATCTTTGAGGCTACACTGCAATGCACCAAGCATCCCACCAAATCTTCAGTGTAGCTAATGTGGTATAGCAGCTAAGGGTGAAACCCCTGGTGCCTGTCTGTGTGGTTTCAAATCTTGCCTCCACCACTCTCTAGCCGTGCGACCATTGCAAGTGACTGCACTTCACTGAGTTGAGGCTCTCAAATGTGAGCTAATGAGAGCACCTACCTCCACAGCGGTGCCTGCTACCTGTAAGCGTGCAGTACATATTAGGGGTGGTGCTCATGACCATCTTGCCTGGCGAATGTCCGTCATTTATATTTCTCTCTCTCTCTCTTTTTTTTTCTTTTTTCCCCCAGACAGGGTCTCACTTTGTTACCCAGGCTGGAGTGCAATGCAGTGGCACAATCACAGCTCACTGCAGCCTCAACTCCCCTGGGCTCAAGCGATCCTCCTGCCTCAGCCTCCTGAATAGCTGGGACCACAGGCATGTGCCACCACGCTCAGATAAAGAGTGTCAATTTCTGAAATGAAGAGAAAACCAAGATATGTGTGTGTGTGTGTGAGAGAGAGAGAGAGAGAAAGAGAGACAGAGAGAGAGAGAGGGAGAGAGGAAAGGTGTTGAGAGAGGGCTAGAAATGCAAGCTCACAGGCAGAAAGGGAGCCTGGCTGGCTCACAGCTGCATTCCCAGTGCATGGTATTGCAGTAGGTGCTCAATAAGATGTTGACTGAATGAATGAATTTGAGAAGCATGAACCTTTCCCCACTAGGAATCCTTTGAAATCTTGGAAGTCAGGCTGAGTGTTCCCATTCATGGAATGAGAATAAGGTGCTCCAAATATCAAAGGGTCAGCTCAGGGATGCTCTGGTGGACATGACAAGGGACCACACATCCCTCCAGTCTCCCAGGGTCAGAGGGCTCCTCCCCAACCACCTCACCTGCCTCTCTCTGTTCCATCTCTCCCACATCACTCAATTCCAGGAGCCTCCACAGTCTCCTGCTCTGGACACCCTTCCCCATGCAGTTCCCACTCCCTGGCAGTGCCCTCCTCTTCACCCTTAAAGGCCAGCTGGAATGTGCCCTCCTCTGGGAGGTCCACCAAGATTTCATCTCACAGTCCTTGAACACACCTCACCCTAGTCACATATTCTGTATTACAATTTTTGGGGTCTGTACTGGTTTTCCCCACGGGACTGGGAGCACCATGGGGACAGGAACTATCCAGGTGATTCACCTCTTGTCCCCAGCATTGCCTAACATCAGGCTATGCACAAATAGGTGAGTGAATAAAGAAACGAACAAAGGCATAAACTTCACCCCTCAGGTGTTTGGAGGTTTCTGGCTGTCTTGGGGGCCTCTCTCTGCCCTCTGATCCCTGATAGGCCCTTCTTTCCAAAGTTAGGCCCCAACCCACTCTCTCCAGCCAGCCCCACCCTGACACCTACGGGCCACCTTTTCGGCGTGGGTCAGCAGGGTCCAGCTTCCCTTCTCTTTCTCCTTCAGGGCCTGCTGCTCAGCGTTGAGTTCTGTGCAGAAGGGCTCTTCTGGCATGGGGTAGTGGCGCTGGGCATAGCAGTTGGTGTAGCGGGGCGTCTTCCCCCCACCACGGGCTGCAGACACAATGGAGGGAGCTGAGTCCAGGCTGCCCCTTGGACACCCTATCTCTAACTATATTAATAAAGAAAGTGGCTGGGCTTGGTGGCTCACGCCTGTAATCCCAGCACTTTGGGAGGCCGAGGCGGTGGATTGCAAGGTCAGGAGTTCGAGACCAGCCTGGCCAAGATGGTGAAACCCCGCCTCTACTAAAAATACAAAAATTAGCCAGGCGCAGTGGTGGGCACCTATAATCCCAACTACTCGGGAGGCTGAGTCAGAAGAATCGTTTGAACCCAGGAGGCGGAGGTTGCAGTGAGCTGAGATCACGCCACTGAACACTCTAGCCTCAGCGACAGAGCAAGACTCTGTCTCAAAAAAAAAAAAAAAAGGTTTATAATAGCTTGGGGTACTAGCAAGGGCTCAATAAATGTTTCTTTGTTATTCTCCATGGGTCAGCAAGGCCCTTCTGCTATCTGGCTGAAGTCTCTCCTGCTTCAGGTCTCTTTCTTCTTACTAGCATTCAAACTGGGGTCTGGAAAGGAGGAATCAGGGCCCAAGGTTCTGTCAGCATCCTCCACCTCAGGACAAAAGACCTAGGGACCTGAGGCTTGGGGGCGGGCTCCTAAGGAAGCTTGGAATGGAGATGGCCACTGTCTGCTCACCCCACGGACTCCATTTCCTGGAGAAACTTGGCCTGGGACCAAGGAGTGGGATCATAGGAAGTGTGGTAGGAACAGGCCCAGGGTGGCATGGAAGGGCAAAGGGGGCAGAGGGGACCCCTGCCCCTATCTCTGGAGTTAGGCTGGGAGGAAGGACTCCAGGTCTCACCGGTGCCTTCTGAGCTGTGCATCCCTCGTCTTCCACGTCCACCTTTCCTCAGCACCAAGCTCCAGGCAGCTTTGGGCAGCATCTGGGGGCATGGAGGTATAGATGAGTTCTGCCTCCACATCACCCTCTGCCCCCAAACCTTAGGACCAGACGGAGAAACCCTTTTCCACTGGTATGGTAGTGGTAGGGATCCCAGGGTTTCAAGGTCGCCCTCATGCCCTTGACCCTTCTAATTTTGTCTGATATCCCTGGGAAGGGGGGGCAATGGCGGTCCTAGACCTTTGGAGCCCCTTCTTGGGACCTCAATTCACCATCTGAGAAGTGGGAGGAGGCCTAAGTCTTGGGCCAGGGTCTGAAGAGTTTGAGGCTGAGGGCTTGGGTTCTAGTGCCAGCCCCAGCTCAGTCTGGCCAGACTAGAGAACTCTGCTCAGTTGTTTGCTCCCCAGAGGAAGCTGGGTGGGGGTCCAGGTTGAGAGGGAGCAGGTCCCCAGGCTCTCTTCCCTGCCCAGCACAGGCAGAACAGACAGACCGTCTGGCCCCCACCTCTTCCCCCATAATTGGCCGCCTACGTGCACACAGCCCTGCTCTGCTGGATCTGGTCGGGGGTGGGGGACTGGGCTCAGCCAGACCGGCTAAGCCCAGTCCCCCACCCCCAGGGAAGACTCAGGGTTTGGCATCCATGGGGGTGGGGAGGGGCTTTAGAGGATAGGGACTTAACTGGGTCAGAGGGAGGGAGACACACATCTGGGGAAAAGAAGGGGATCCCACATCTAGGGGGAGAGAGGGACACCCAACAAATAGAGTGAGGGAGGGGGCACATTACAGGTGATAAGTGGGAGGGGGCGGCCCGCACTTCTAGAAAAGAGGAGCTCCAGCCAGTGATTATGATTAGTGGGTGGGAGAGCTCCACATATCCAGAGAGGGAGGGTGTAATCTGTATTTGGGGAAAAAGATGGCATACATATGCAGACAGAGGGCTCCCCAGGAACCCTCAACTCTAACCTGCATGAAGCCCCCCAACCCTCTAAGACAGGGACCACTCAGGGCGCGACCCAGCGGCGAAGGCAGGAGACCGAGCCGCGCCCCTGACGCGCGGGCTTGGGTTGCGGGGTCCTCCGCCAACTCACTCACCTCGCGGGCTCGGCAGCGGGAGTGCGACCTGGGTCTGCCCAGAGAGCAACTGAGAACCCGCTGCGGAGGGACCTGAGCGCGGGCGCCCGCCCCCGGCCCGCCCCACAGCCTTTCAGGGCCGCCCCCGCGTGGGAACGTCCTGCTTCGGCTGGGCGTGGGAGCGCACAGCCCGCGTCCCTGGGGGCACCCCGGCCCACAGCTTGGGGGGAGGGACTGCAGAGCGACTCCTGCATCAGTGTCCCTACCCCTGGGGTCCTGCCTCTGGAGACCCTCTGCAGACAGTAGTCCCAAGAGCAGGGTCTCCCTGCCTCCTCCACACGTTCCCTCCTTGCTGTTTCTCCCACCTGGGATGTTCTCTTCAGGCCTTTGAAGACACAAACCTTTCAGCTAGGCCCAAAGCCTCCTACTCCAGAAACATCTTTTAGGCCAAGCGTTGTGGCTCACGCCTGTAATCCCAGCACTTTGGGAGGCCGAGGCGGGCGGATCACCTAAGGTCAGGAGTTCGAGACCACCCTGGCCAACGTGGCAAAACCCCATCTCTACTAAAAATACAAAAATTAGCCGGGTGTGGTGGCATGCGCCTGTAGTCCCAGCTACTCGGGAGGCTGAGGCAGGAGAATCGCTCAAACCCGGGAGGCAGAGGTTGCAGTGAGCCGAGATCCCACCATTGCACTCCAGCCTGGGCAACAAGAGTAAAACTCCATCTCAAAACAACAACAAAACCAACAATAAAAGAAGAGAGGTCATCTTGGCCAGAGTGTCATGGTTAAAGGGGAGGCTGGATGGAGGGAGAGGTGGGCTGGACCACCAAGAAGGACCTGTAGGTCATGGTAAGGAGCTTGGATTTTATTTAAAGAAGGTGATTAAACTGGTGTGGTGGCACACCTGTGTAGTCCCAGCTACTCAGGAGGCTGGGGTGGGAGGTGGAGGTTGCAGTGAGCTGAGATCACACCACTGCTCTCCAACCTGGGCAACAGAATGAGACCCTGTCTCAATAAATAAATAAAATAAAATAAAATAAAAAGAAGGTGGGAGGCAACCAAAGTTAAGAAAAGGAGTGATGTGTTCGAATGGAGCAGAGCACGAGTTCAGTAAATGTGTCCCGGGACTGTCAGTATATGGATGGCAGATGAATGGGCGAGGGCTGGGGGTCCCCTCGGTGGCCTGGAGACAAGAGCTTTCCAGGTCTCCCTGCTCTAGGTCCCTGAGGTATGCCCAGCCCCCATGCCTTCCATCAGGGTTCCTATACCCTAACGAGGCCATAGCGGCCTGCTCCAGACAGTCTCTAAAGACTGGCCAGGTGTGGTGGCTCACGCCTGTAATCTCAGTACTTTGGGAGGCCAAGGCGGGCAGATCACTTGAGGTCAGAAGTTCGAGACTAGCCTGGCCAATATGAAGAAAACCTATCTTGCTGGGCGTGGTGGCTCATGCCTGTAATCCCAGCACTTCAGGAGGCCGAGGTAGGCGGATCACACACAACGTCAGGAGATCAAGACCATCCTGGCTAACATGATGAAACTCCGTCTCTACTAAAAACATAAAAAATTAGCCGGGCATGGTGGCAGGCGCCTGTATTCCCAGCTACTTGGGAGGCTGAGGCAGGAGAATGGCGTGAACCCGGGAGGCGGAGGTTGCAGTGAGCCGAGATCGAGCCACCGCACTCCAGCCTGGGCGACAGAGCAAGACTCCATCTCAAAAATAAATAAATAAATAAATATATATATATAAATATATATATATATAAAATAAAATAAAACCTATCTCTACTAAAAATACAAAAATTAGCCAAGCGTCATGGCATATGCCTGTAGTCCCAGCTACTAGGGAGGCCGAGGTGGAGGTCGCAGTGACCCGAGATTGCACCACTGCACTCCAGCCTGGGCGACAGAGCGAGACTCCATCTCAATCAATCAATCAATCAATCAATCAATGGAGGGGGCTTAGTCCTGGGGGCAGATGAGCCTAGAAGGCGAGGGGCTCAAGGGAAGGTGTTAGAGGGACCCTAGAGTGCACATCACCTCCATTCTAGACGGTGCCAGAGACAAATCTTTGAGAAGGGAGCTTGGGAGTCTTCCAGAGTTCCATGAGACGTCCAGCTCCCAGAACTGGCCAGGTTGGGCCCACTGCTGGTCACTCTGGGAGCTGCTCCTCCCCTTCCCCAACCAAAGTAATTCCAAATGTGAGACCCCCAAAAGGACCATCTTGACCGGGCGTGGTGGTTCATGCCTGTACTCCCAGCACTTTGAGAGACCGAGAAGGGTGGATCATCTGAGGTCAGGAGCTCGAGACCAGCCTGGCCAACATGGCGAAACCCTGTCTCTACTAAAAAGACAAAAATGAGCCAGGCGTGGTGGGCACCTGTAATCTCAGCTACTCGGGAGGCTGAGGCAGGAGAATCGCTTGCACCCCGGAGGCGGAGGTGGCAGTGAGCCGAGATCACACCACTGCACTGCAGCCTGGCCCGCAGAGTGAGACTCCCTTTCCAAAAAAAAAAAAAAGGACCACCCCTTACCTCTTGGTTGCTGAGCAGGGTGTTCTATAGAGTAGTCCTATGGACAGAGGACAGGGGAAGACGCTTCTTCAAGAATCTGGAGGAAAAACCATGGCTTTTTTTTTTTTTTTAAAGCTTTGTAGAGACAGGGTCTTATTATGTTGCCCAGGCTAGTCTTGAACTCCTGAGCTCAAGGGATCCTCCTGCCTTGGTCTTCCAAAGTGCTTGGGATTATAGACATGAGCCACCACGCCAGGCAGAAGCTGATGAGTCTTGCCAGACCTTTTTCAGGGTGGCTGGGAGGGTGGTGGCTGCACTGGAGTGAGTGGCCTGTGTCTATGCATGGCTCTACTACAGCCACTCTGAGTGGCCAAGCGGCACCATTTCTGGGTCTAATCTTCCCCCCCACCCCCCTCAGTTTCACAGGGTCTCCCAAGGGAAGGCATTTGGGAAAGGCGTCCCTCTGTTCTTCCCTGCGCTCTTCCGCCCCAGCCTCTGTGGGAACATCAGGTTCCAGAAGTTGAGTGATGCTGTGATAAGGAACATCTGTGGGAGAAGCCCACCCTTGGGCTGAGAGCCATGGGGTAGAGGCAGGCCCTGAGCAGCTCACAGGGAATACAGCCTGCAGGACGATTGCGGAGCCTCCTTTTGAGGTCCTGAACCTGGGAAGAGATGGACTGTCCCTTAAGGCAGGCCACTCAGGGTCCCAAAGCCAAGGAATAAGGGTCTTCTGGAACCCTGGTGGGTCCAAGGGTGGAGAGGGCTCCGGAGAGGGCATTCAGGCCACTTGCCACAACAGGGCCGACATGCCGAGAGCTCTGGGACAGGTTAAGACCTGCCAACAGGAGGGATGGCAGCTCACACTCACTTGGTCGGCTCCAGGGAGACCCCCAGATTCTGCCCAGACGCTAAGACCTGAGCCACAGCCTCAGCATCCCCCTGCCAACAAGACCCCCACCCAGGCTCTAGGTTTCACAGAGGACCCACCTCCAGCCTGCCAGCCTAGAGGGGATACTGCGGAAGAGCTAGGCCTCACGCAGGACCCTAAGGTGAAAATAGGAAGAGGTGCTGGACAAAACATCACAGACCTGGACTCCCAGCCCTTCGGGAGGCCCGAGGGCCCCTTGAACCCAAGGAGGAGGTCTAGTACAGAAGGAGCAGGGAGAGGCGGGAATGGGCAGAGCTAACCACGAGGAGTGAGGCCAGGGGACAGCAAGGAAACCAGGAGCTGAGGGGGCAGGGCCAGCGAGCCGATGGGCGTGGTCAGTGAGCCGAGGGCCGTGGCCAGGAGCGGAGAGCAAGGCCCACCCAGCTCACCCGTGAGAGCGGAGGCTCTGCGGAGCCGTGGGAGTCACTGAACACTGAGAGTGTCCCAGCAGCAGCTCAGGCTCGGAGGACGTCGCGGGAAGACCTGCAGCTCCGGTGGCCCGTCCAGCAAGTGCTTCTAAAACCCTGGACAGGCAAGCCAGGTCAGAACCGACACTGAGAGCTGGGCGTGGTGGCTTGCCCCTGTAATCCCAGCACTTTGGGAGGCTGAGGAGGGAGGATTGCTTGAGATCAGTAGTTCAAGACCAGCCTGGGCAAAATGGCGAGACCTTGCCTCTACAAAAAATAAATAAATAAATTAGCAGGATGTGGTGGTGCACACCTGCAGTCCCAACTAAGGAGGCTGAGGTGGGAGGATTGCATGAGCCCAGGAGCTCTACGC